TAATCTTCTGACGTTTGACACCAGGTGGAGGTACGGAAACAGAGAACTGCATTTCCACCGAATTTTGTGCACTCCCTTGATGGGTCGCACATGATGCTGACTGCTATGGCTTGTAGAGACGCCGATTTGCGTTTTGCAGGTTTACTTGCTCACTGTCAAGTGTTTGAGAAAGGGGCTTATGATTTGCAAATTTAGGAACACTTATTTCTGTTTCCTGCAATTTAACGCCTCATAAATCTGTTGTTTGTAATAGGGGTACATGATTCCTTCTGGACACATGCCTGTGATGTGGATTTGATGAACCGGCTGCTTCGTGAGAAATTCGTGGAGCTCTATAGTATGCCCATACTTGAAAATGTGAGTTGGTCATCAATCAAGATAATTTATACTTGTCATTTGTTTAAGGTTTAATACACTTGTATATCCAAAACTTTCACGGTTGTGCCAATAATATCCAAATTTCCCGAAATACCATTTATTCCATGTTTTAAAGTTGTTCTTTGCCAAATCTATCCATTTTCCAATATATTTTTGGTTAAATACACTTGTATATCCAAAAACACCGTTAAAGAATGTGAAGTAATTGGATATAAATGGTATTTCGGGAAATTTGGATATTATTAGCACAACCGTGAAAGTTTTGGATATACAAGTGTATTTAACCTTTGTTTAAATGCTTTTTGTATTCTTTTTCTAATTCTATTGTTATCTTTATGCTGTGCAGTTGCATGAGAGCTTTCAGACAACGTATCCAGGACTGAAGTTCCCACCTCTTCCCAAGAGAGGGAACTTCGACTTGAACGAAGTGCTCAAATCACAATACTTCTTCAACTGAAATTCTTCCCTGGTCATTGTAACATACCGGGCTAACCTCAGATGAATTGCTGCTCATTCATGCAAAATCCCTATGAATGGCTCTAGGTTGTTGTCTGGAAACGATTCTTTGAACAGAATCAGGGTTCAAAGCTGGCAGTGGGAATCAGGAAAGGCATGGAGTGCTTCAACAGAAGCATGGTGCCAGCTTTGCCTCCATATCTTGTAAAGGTTCCTGAGGGCCATAGGTTTGTTCTCATGCTTTGTTATGATCCAACAGGATGAAAGAGGGCCACTCGCTCTCGAAATAGACAGATTAAGAGAGATCTTGAGAATCTGAGAGCTTAGGACCTTTCTTCTTCAAGGTGAACTTCCTCCTTGGGGGACGGAGGGTACCTTTACTGGGACCGGATATACGAACTAATGAACAGCACCTGATCAACAGCTGAGTTTTAAGGCATGCTGTCGGGTGAGAAGGCATTGTGAAGACAGTAAAACGAAATCATACCAGATCAATAGAGTCAAAGATTAGTCTGCAGAGTGTTTGTAGCATAATTTTTGTTTCCAGTTTTATTTATTGGGCGGGCTAGAATGTAAATGAATATGGCTGTGAGCTTAGAAGCAACATTTTTGTAGCATAGCAAGTTTGTTCATTAACTGATTTGTCTCAACTATGCCATTAACTTATGAATGATCAAATTGGAATTGAAAGGAAATCTTGTATAAATTGCAGTCCTCAACTTTGTTTGAGTGCTCATTTTATCGGAATCATTATGTGTTGTGGTTACACTGAGCTACATTCCTCTGAGAAGAGGATTAAAGATTGACTGTACAAAGCAGTAAAAGCTACATCTTTCCATTGAACGTTTTGCTTCACAGCCCCATCTGCTTCATCCACAAAGACCATTTGACAGACTCCAAATACTTATCATTCTTCTGCAATGCAGCAATCAAGTTAGTGTATGTAATCTTATTAGGTTCTACCCCATTGTCCCTCATCTCCTTCACCAAACTGACTGCATTCTCAACCATTCCAGCAACCCCATAAGCCTTAATCAAAGTGTTGTAGCTACATATATCTGGTCTGAGTCCGCATTGTCTTAGTTCGGTCAGAACTCCTTCAACTTCATCAATCCATCCTCGTTCTCCATAAACGTTCAACATAATGTTGTAAGTGTAAGCATCTAATGAGCAGCTCGATTCTTTCATCCTTTGCAACACACTCTGGAAGCTCTCAGTCTGACCTTCTTTCCCGTATGCATCCAGCATGGAGTTGAATGCTTCAAGGGAAACTGAGAACCCGTCAAGCTGCATTGTCCGTACTGTTGCAGCCATCTTCTTGAAGTCTTTACTGCGGCCATAAGCAGCAATGATGGTATTGTAAGAGATGGCATCAACCAGACCTCGTTTCCTTGCCATTTGCAGCATCTCCTCGGCCTTTTCAAACTGCCCTGATCTTCCATAAATATTGAGCATAACATTGAAGGTGACGGTGTTAGGAACAAAGCCTTGGCGAATCATCTCGTTGAAGAGCCTGGAAAGCTCATCGACTGGTAGAGCATTGGCACAGCAGTTTATGACGCAGTTGTAAAGCTCCTGGTCCCAAACGATATCACTTTTCAAAAGGTTGTAGTACAGATCTTTTAACTTGCTCGACAAGCCAGTTCGTTGGTAGATTCGCAGCATGTCTAGGTAAAGATAAACATCTGGAACTACATCATTTTGTTTCTCCATTGATTCCAGAACATCACAAGCTTGTTTTAAGGACCCAGATTTCACATACATCCTCACAACAATGTTGAATGCAATCAGATCCATGGCAATTCCTGAAGATTTCATCTTCAGATAAAGCTCTTCTCCTTCATCAAACCGACCCATTGTGGTGTATATATCAATCATGGTGCAAGAAATGTGCAAGTTTGGCTGATCGAGATCAGATTTAGGCATCAGTGTATATATCTCAACAGCATTCTCAAGATTCCCCAGCTCCTTGCAAGAGCAAATCAGCAAATGATACAAGTTATCCTCAAAAACCCCATCCTTCCACCTCTTCTCTCTTAACACTTTCATGGCTTCATCCACCATATTGTTCTTCACATAAGCCATTACAACGATAGAACAAGAAGTTTGGTTTACCAGAATATGCTGATAAAATGAGGACTGCAGAAGAATGGGGACTCTGTTCATCCTTCCTACTCTCTCATATGCTTTCAGCACAGTGCCAATGATCGAGGAATGCTGACATCTCATCTCCAGCATCTCGTCCAGAGTTCTAATTGCTCCTGCTTCATCGCCATGTGCAGCCTGCAGATTGATCAAGGTGTACAAATTTGACGAGTTAGGCCTGAAGCCCAATCTCTTCAGCTCATTGTAATACCATTTTGTCTCTTCATAGTTCCCCATTCGACCCCATCCTTCAATCATGGACCGATAGGTGGTCTCATCGGGCTGTAACCCTACATCTTCAATAGCTGCAAACAGGCGTTGAGTAGCAACCATGTCAGACACTTTCCCGTACCCAGTTATCAACGTGTTATATGCAATCACATTAGGAGGAAAACCAGCTTCCTGCATCGATTCAAACATCTGTTCAGCTTCTTCCAACTTTCCTCTTTGACTATAAGCATTGATCACCACCAACCAGTTCTCCAAATTCATCACCACATTGTCTTCCTTCATCATGAAATGGATAACTTCTTCCGCTTTATCGTACAAGCTCAAACGAGTATAAATCGTGATCATGGAAGAGTAAGCAGACTCACATTTGATCCCAAAGCTTCTCATTTGGTTGAACACAAACTCTGCCTCTCTAACATTCCAACCCTTCTGATAAAGCCCCATGAGCATTCCAAATGTGGCAATGTTAGGCCGAATTTGAAGCTCCAGCATCATCTTGAACCATTTGCTGCCCAATTCGACATTGCCTTGCTTGCAACAAGCATAGATGAGTGTGTTGAATAGCCGGAAATCGAGGTGGGCCCCACATTGATCAGTGGCTTCCTTGATTGTGGTTGATGCAGCTTGCCAATCTCTTCTTTTGGTGAAAACTCGGAGGACTAGATTGTAAGCAGACTGATTATACTCCAGCTTCTTATTCTTCCTCATCCATTCGAAGAAATGCAGAGTTTTGTCGTCGGTGCTCTCTTTCTCCAGCCTTTTGAGAACGAAATTGCAACTTTCTAAGCTCAAATCAGACTGAACAACACTGTAATTAACATCCAGCCCATCATCATAAACAAAAAGATCATACTTTGGTTGCTTGCCATGATTCCTCTTAGAATCAGGACTAAACCCAACATGTTTCCTCCTTCCTTTGATTCCTTTCCCAACTGCACGATTATGAACACTCTCCTTCACCTTATCCTGCAATTCAGTCCCGATTTGGGGAACTCTGGAAGGAGTGAATCTACTCGACGATGCGGTAGTAGAAGTTCTATTGAAGCTGGTCACGTAGAAGAATGAGCAATTAGCTGGGAACTGAAGTGGGGTTTTGGAAAGACTTGATCTTTCGGAATCGAAGGGCTCTAAGCAGATGGGAAGTTTCAGGGACGCCATTGTTAGAAGACGAAAAAGCTTTGGGCTTTCAAGGAAGATAATAGAGAGCTACAGATAAAGATGAAGATAACGAAAAATAACGTACTTACCTCTGAAGGGGTGGGAAAGAAAGGAGGAGGGGAAGAGATAATAGAAGTCGTGGACTTGCGCGAAGCAGTGGAGGGAAATCGCTCTCTTCAACAGTTGGGGGATATTTTGTTTTCTTTGGCTGTTTCCTTTTCAGCACACAGTGGGAGAGTAAGACCAAAACCTCGAGAGTGGCAATTGGCAAATGGCAATAAATTCCTTCGTCAGATTTTAGCAATACTGCACTATTTAAGCAGATTGTATCGCTTAAACCACATACCGATATTCAAGCTAGTAAGTTTTTGCTTGTGCGTCTCTAATATACTTCGAACTATTAACTTCATCGGTTTGATATTTGGTGTGATTTTACAATGGGTTTTGAGTTTGACCATCCAAAGCAACACATTGGCTTCCATGGACTATGTACTCTGCAAAAAAAAAAAAAAAAAAAAAAATTTCTTCAATAAGTGGGTTCCTTAATTTTTATCTGTAGCAAAAACATATATGTTCTTGCGATAAAGAAACAAAACTGCTCGAAATTTTGCATTTGGCATACAAAGACTATTCTTTTCACACTATGCTTATTCACCAATAATGACAGTGAGACAAGGTATAAACCGTATAAGCTTGGATAACTCAAGTTGTAACTTCAGGAAAGAAGCCTTGGCTCTCTCCAGAGATATCAACATTCATAATCATATGCCATTCACCAGTCAGCAGATCAAAATTTCTTCCATTTCACAGATGAACAAGCTGGTAGCCCTAGTGGAAGATAACACCAAACTCGAAAGAAAAGGAAAAGGCTAGTCAAAAAGGAAAGTCAAATCCAGATGGTGGTGAAGGCTTCCTCAAGCGACCTCTTCCTGCTAAGCTCGGCAGTCCACCCACCAGCTCTGCTCCCTCTTTCTGTTCGTAGCCTCATCATCTCTTCATCATCGTGCCCGTCGCCCCAAATTGAGCCTGGTTGGCCCATTGGAAGCGGCTGCCCAGTAGCCATTATTGGCGCGTACTGCCCTGTCGTCTCTATTCCGAGCATTGCTTGAGAGTTCTGGCAGAATTCACAAACAAGATGGGTTTTCATAAAGAGTTAACCCACATATACCATGGAATGCTTTCCAAAGCTTGTGGCATTCATCTGGCATCTAATAAAGATGTTCCACAGAATCAAGAGCATTAACTGAAGATTGCCAAATGTACCGAAAGGAGAAGAGATCTAACTCACCAGTTCAGTATCTGTTTGCTGTGGAAGCCCCTTACATGCTGCAAGAGCTTTAGCATATTCCTCAGCCTGTTACAACAAGGTATAAAAACCAAGAACAAGATCAATGACTGCAGGCAAGGAAAAACACTAGAAAGCTTTTGGAGAACTGAAAAAATTGGAACTTTTTACGAGACCTTCCGTGCTTGATTGAGCATTATTTGCTCCGCGTTCTCGATCTTGTATTCTTCTATTCTTGCTTTAATAGCTTCAGTAGCTTGGGTGTCCGGGTTTGACACCAAGTTGACAACTTCCAAGAGTAAACTTCCATCTTGTTAGGCCATGATAGTCACGTCTCAACCAACTAACCAAATAAGTACACAAGAGCTTACTCATGTCTTCCACTTCTTCCAAGTAATCATTGTACTCCGTCAGAGACGGGAAATCCTCTTCCCGCTTATTAAATCTGTTAGCAACAGATGCAAAGGGAATCAAATTAGTGTTTGAGTAGTATTCAGCAGCAACCAAATACAACTTTCCATTTGTTTCGATCTTTGCCTTATACAGACATGAACAGTGAAGACATTCCAACAAACGACACATGCTAACCAAATATCCCTATGAATCAAAATAACAAAAAGTTTGCTTCTCAAGTATACATATCAAGGCCATCCAATGTTCAATAACAAGAGCCGGTACAAGTTCTGAGTCGATGTGCAAAACCAACAACGCAAAGCTAGAGAAGGAGAACGTAGAACTCACATGCTGGAGATGTTTCTTCTAATGGCAATCTCCTTAGGATTATTATTTCCAACACCCATTTAGCTAGGTTCACCAGGGCTCTCTTTCCCACTCCTGCGTCTCAATCAAGGTTAGTTCCCCTCTCTGGATAAAGCATAGCAAGCAAACTACTGATAGGTTCACAAGTTGATTCACAAACCATGAAAAATTATAGCAGAGCAAGCAAACTACTGGTAGTTTCACAAGTTGATTCATAAACCATGAAAAATTATAGAAGCTACCCATTGGGTAGAAACTAGTACAGTTAATTCAAATCACAACTCTGATCCGATACCAGTAACCAAGATGATAGCTTATATAAAAAACTTTGGGGGGAACTGAAAGCCACAGTTCATCATTACTAAAACATTTGAAGAAATCGAAAAGCCATGGAAATCTAAAGGGTTTTCACCATTAACCCAGAGCAGCTTCAGAAAATCCGAGTTGAATAAGGATTTTAACCTTGTGGGTTTCCGGGGAAAGATGCAAGCTTTATCAAGTTTTAATCAGTGCCCATCTTAGACATCGTCGGCAGAGAAAACCCAGAGCCCGGTAAAGAAGAATCTCGAGCAAAGAGATTGCTCTGCTGCTGCTGCCGCCGCCGCACCAATGGCTGTAATTGGGTCAGCGCCTCGCTTATTTTCTGGAGAAGGAACAGTCACCGGAAGGTTTCGACACGGATCGGATATTATTCCATTCCCGATGATTAAAAGCCGACGGGAGGAATTTCAGAATAAGAAGAAGCCGGCCTAATATGAAGAGACAGCGACCGTGGCGCGACGGAGAGATTACCCGGTGTATCTAATCAAGCCGAGTGGGCCTATGATCACTGGGAACCGGATATGAGATTTGGGCTTTGCTGGCCCAAAAATGGGCCACCTTGGGCCCGTTAGAGGATTAGCATTGCCAGTAGCCCTAAAGCTTGACTAAGGTCTAAGGCTGGCTAGTCAAATCATATACCACAAATAAAAGTGTTCAATTTTCACAAAAAACTTGTGTTCAATTAAGTTATGAGATTGATTAAATTTTACTTCAAAAATCCATCGTGTTAGCTGTTTGTATTAGTTAAACCCATATTGGAATCAACATGATTTAACTATAATTTTTTACGGTTTAAACTATTTAGTTTCATTAAAGATTATATCAATAAAATAATCATTAAGAAAAAAATAAAGAAATGGTAACCTCACCCTATGGTAGAATGAGAGTGGTGTTACAAATATTAAAAAAAAAATAACTAACAAATTTTGTTTCTTTAAACGTTTTTACCTCCGTGCTTTGTGATTCATGATCATGCACATCGTCACTATATTTACTCAGTCGTGATCTCGAGGTAAATAAGCGACATTCTCTCACACAAGATACACTCTCTCTATTTCGATCTAATTAAATTCACATTTTTCAGGCGAGAGATCAGATGGCGACGATTCGATGGGCTTCAACATTTAGACATTTCACCACCGTCGCCATAGTACTAACAACAATTTTACTATGGGGATCGAAGACGGCAAACGGGCTACGGTTCGTGATCGACAGAGAGGAATGCTTCGCTCACAACGTCGATCAGGCGGACACGATCCACGTCTCATTCGTCGTCATCAAATCCGATTCCGTCTGGGATTACACCCAGGAGGGCGTCGATTTCAATGTGAGATCACCCACTCCAAAAACTCTCTACTTAATCTTGATGCCTCTACTCTCTACGATTTCTTGATCTAATTGCATGTTAGTTGATCATTAGTGACGGTTTTCTGCATGATGGCGATTAATTAGATAACAGCACCACCTGGAATTGTCATCCACGAAATGAAAGACAAGACAAGTGAGAAGTACGAGTTTGTGGTTTACTACACAGGGGCTTATCGTTTCTGTTTCACCAACAAGTCTCCTTATCATGAAACCATTGATTTCGACGTTCATGTCTCTCACTTCACTTTCCATGACGAACATGCCAGAAATGGTACAACCTAACTAACTAGCTATCTATGTATGTATGATATTGCAAATTGATTATATTCTTTGAAAATCATGTATTCTACGCGTTGTTGTGGTGTTTTCAGAGCATTTCTGGCCATTGATGGAGGAGATAACCAAACTCGAGGAGGCGCTCTACAACATTCAGTTTGAACAACACTGGCTTGAGGCCGAAACAGAACGCCAAGCAAGAGGTAATTTCAACAAAAATACACGAGTATATGATTATACAATTTCCTTAAATCGTGTTGTCGTTCGTTTCGTATCAACCTCTACTTTCACAAGTCGTTTCGTTGATTCAAAAACCAAAGTAAAGTCGTTCATCGTTGTACATATATGGTTTTTGGAGGTTCCGATAGCAAATCTCATCATGTCCATCCAAATAACCTGTTTCTGACTCATGCAATGTGTTTTTCGATCTAAGCAGTGAACAATGACTTGAACCGAAGAGCAACTCATAAGGCGATGTTTGAATCAGTTGCACTTGTTGGATCGAGTTGCCTACAATTTTATCTCTTGCGGCGCTTGTTCGAAAGGAAGTTCGGTTACTGTAGAGTTTAGTCCTCCACGTAGAGATTTGTTGTAGTGTTCACCTCTTCAGTAGCTTTGCTTACTGTGGCTGCAATGTACTTCGATCCTTTACGTTGTTATAAGAGGAACAATCTAGTCCGACGACTCGACCTAGACGTATAAAGTCGATCCAGTTTCGATTTAGCCAGTTGATACCCAGCCCTATAATTAATTGCAGCATACCAATCCACAACAAATAAGGAAAAGTTCTGTTAAGCTTCTTATTTCTAGTTCAAGTACATAATTCGTGAGTAAATGGCATCCTCTCTAGTGTCTAAATCTGTGTGACTTCAGGAATGAAGTACTGGGAAACAATTTGTTCTACCATTTCCCGATGAATCATTTCCAAGACTTCAAGAATCACTGACCAGTTCAAGAGAAGCAGCTGCCGGCATCGACGATCCAGCTAAGAAAGACTTGGCCAACGTGAGGGCTAGTTTTGGTCTGTGCAGGGGGACTTCATGGCCAGCTCCACGAACAGCAACAAATGTAAGTCCATCATATTCTTGAGTCCATCCTCCAACCTGATAGCACAAGGGTTTCATTCGTCATAAAAATGGTGTGGCCAAAATCGAGGAAGAAGATACTCCTCAGGGCATGGAATGTGTTTTACCTCTCCGTCGTCATACCAAGCACGCCAAGGTTTCACCGTTGGAAGCTTAAGAGCATCGATGGTGTACCGGGTGGATGTGACTGGGATGACTGTATCAGTGTCGCCACTGTATGAAATAATGGAGGTTTAGATGATAAAAGGTTTATGCTTCTGGGAAGCAATGGGCCATTAACATGACTCGATTGCCTTGTAACCCAATAAACGCATCACAAACTCGTCCCAACGCTCGCATTCGACACCTCTAGGACCATAGTCAATCTCCAAAACACGAACTGAGAAAACAGGATCTTGAAGTACCTGAACATCCATATGCGAAGCCCTGCTTGGATGAGCTCCTTATAGACATCAAGCACTGAACTTGGAGAATCCTTCCAATGCTCATTTATCAAGTTACTGCAAGAAAAGCATAAGAACATGACCAAAATATTGATAATGTCCATTAAGGCTTTAGTCACAATTGGGTTTCTACTGTGTCCTTAGGGTATGAAGCATACTTGCAAGTCTCCCATTTGAATGGTGCAAGTTCAGCTGGAACATGGAGAGCCTCCTGAACCTCTCGCAGGTTGAAATAAGCAGTAGAGTGCTTCTCTGTGCAAGGGTCATATCTCTCTCTAACAGTGCCGATTACCTATCAACATTCAAACGATAAGGTTTCTTCTCTCTTTACTATGAACAACACAGTAGGAAGGAGAAAAAAAAGAATATCGAAGGTTTACGAACAACTACAGAGTTATATGTGTACTTACACGCCTTCTTTTGAGCAGCTGGTTGGACTGGCTGATATTGGGAGTGCAGGGAGGGGTGAAGGCACTGTAAGGATCAATGTGTCCGACTTCTTGATCCGCAATATCAAGATATCGATTACAAGCATGTGACGAGTGGATGAAGGAAACGGAATCACAAGCATCATTGAGTTGCTTGTAGGTCTGATCAGAGATCATTCCAGCTGCCCATAAGAACTGGAAGACCCCCAAATGGTCGTGGTAATCATCTGTCAAAGCATTTCCCACCTGCATTATGCAAACCAAGATCGACCGTCATTAGAAGTGGCTTATGATCAGAAAGACATGTTGCATCATTGCATGGCATTCATTAGGAGTAATCATTGCATACCATATATCCCTTAAGGTTAATTGTCTGGGACTTGGTTGCTTTGTTATGCCAGACAACAGCTTGGCTTAGCTGAGGAACATAATGCCCTGGATCAAAGAGCCACCACATTTTCACAAGTTACATCCACAGACTTGGCTGGTAAAATATAGACTAGAAATCAATGTACAACATTAGGAAGAGATATATGAAGTCATTCTACCAGCATAGCTCTCTCCTGTAATGTAAAAGTCCCTTCCTTTATACTCTGGGAAGCGCTCAAACCAGTTGATCAGAAACTCTAGGGAGTCCTCAGCTGCCAAAATGGAAGGATCATATTTTAACAGTGCACAAATGATTTACTTATGGTTTTGCAGCAGACCACTTAAGTACAAGAGAATTGAAACAGTACCAGTCCTTTTATCTCCACTTGTCACCATATCTGAGGATGTGTTTGAATATGAGTAACCCACTCCAGCAGGAGAATCAAGGAACAGAATGTTGGCAGCTACAAGGGAATAAGACGAGAAAGATAGACAATCACATATTCACATGGTAAATAATTGGTCAATGGAGCACCCAAATTTGAATGTAAACCCAAAATGTCTGTGTTATGATACAAAATTGGGGAATATTGTCATGGAGAAGGATGTCACTGCCAACAAAAACACAGATCATAGATGCCCTCACAAGGCCACCAATGCTGTGCATTTCGGATGAGCCAGTTCTAATAACTCGAGTAGTTGGGAGATATTACCGACAGAATTCCACCTTTATATTACACAGGACACCAGAAACGAACATTGATTACCTTGATTCCAGGAGTAAGGGTTGAGATAAAGTGAGGCACCATCAGGCTTCACATGAAATGGGCCAATTTCTTCAGCCAGACCATAAGCAATGGAGGAACACCCAGGTCCTAGAAAGAAAAAAGAAACAGTCTTTCTGAGTCAGAAGTCAAAACCCACCAGCTAGAACACAATCAATCATCTCACTACCATAAAAATGAAAACAATTAAACATTTAGAAGCTTGATTCACCTCCATTGAGCCAGAGTATGAGAGGCTTGGACTCAGGATCCTCAACAGCTTCAAAGAACCAGTAGAATAAAGCCCTCCCAGCCTTCTCATTCACTGTAACATACCCAGAATATTGGGCGAAACTGACATCGAAGCCTTGACCAGGTAGCTCCAAAACCTTGTCTAGCTGCCTCTGGGCAGCTGAATCCCCCAAATTAGCAGCAGCAGCAGCATAAAGGCTAACTGCAACAATGAAGGTGTTGAGCCAGCCAATCGCCCAGCTGAGATTGGCCATGTTTCCAGAGAAAGAAGGGTACTGAGGTTTCCTCTGGTTGGGGAGAAGACTGACTCACCACTCAACAGTGGGGTGTTATATAAAAAGAGAAGACTGTTGTTTGCAGCGAATGGCATTAAACAAAAGGGGATAAAAAGAAAGAACTCTCGAAAAGATGAAAACCCCATCAATGATCAATCCACTACTTTGGGGAAAGGAGCCAACTTTGTTTGTTTTGTGGTCAGCCTTAAAGATGACGTCTTTGTCGATCGCTTCGAGCTTTTGCAAGCATTCCTCACGTGTTCCGCTGTTGAATGAAATGCACACGATACTGGTAAATTGCAAAAACAGCCACTGAGTTTTGGAGATACTAACAAATTAGTCACTGATTTTATTTGATAAATTTTTATCATTGAATCTTGAAAGAACTGAGATAATGGTCATTTTTTCATTCTTTTCAACTCACCTTGTTCATATATGTGTGGATTTATCCAATTAATAATGAAAAACGGTTATATCAACCATGTTATTTGTTATCGAGCAGGGCGAGAAAGGAATTTTGATGCTTTGAGTAATATAAATTATAATTAGGTTGAGTATTTGACTTGATTTAAATCTTGTGCTGATTAAAATGAGTGCTTTATACGAGATAATTAGACTCTTATATTCTGTTTTATGATGAAATTTGGAGTTGACAAGTCAATTTTGATTATTTAAGTAGAATTTCGGAGGACATGTACGGAGAGATTACTGTTCTAACTATTCTAAATTTATGTAGAAGTTTGTTGAAAACTTAAAATCTTATTGCTGATTTTTCAGCTACCCCAAAGTCTAAGGACCATTTATATGATTAACCCTCTTAAAATGCAATTTGTGTGAACAAACTAATCATCAAAACACAACAACTGAGCATTGAGGTTGTTCCAAGTTTTCAATATATATTAGATTAGTAGTCATGCAACTCCCTAATAAAAGTAATAAATGAGAGAAGCCAATGTACTATTAAAATACAAATTAGCTCTAGAGGTTTTTTTTTCATCACGAAATGAGAAGGGTGTTACTATTAGTCGTACTAAAATATCTTATTCTGTCATTCTAAAACATACATACACAATTACATCACATAACAAAATACAATCTACAAAACAACACCATATAAGAAAAACAACTCACATACAAAAACTCTTCATTGCACACTCGTCGTCGAACTCCAACGATCTCATCGGAGGTCTCAATCATCGTCGTCATCACCACACAAACACCCTTCATTGTTCACTCGTCAGTCGAGCTGTGGGGTAGGGTTTTGGGGTGAGGGAGTTTGGGATTGCTTGTTTTAGTGTTTAGGTTAGAAATTCACAATATGGAGAAATATGTTGTTGGGGGTACCACTAAAGGGGCACAAAAGAGAGTCCAAGAGAGGGCCCATTCAGTTGAAGGTAGCCCTAGGCAATGCGCCAGGAGAAGAAGCCCGCAATGCCCACTTCATATCAGACAGCATAGGCATGGAGACAAATCCCTAGGGGCCAATGAAGTCCAGGCTGGCAAGTGGTCCCCGCCTGTAGGCGTCTGCCAGTCGTCAGAAGTCTGACAAGGTGGTTGGGGCTTCTGGCAGGAGGGCAGGTACAAAGCATTTAATGCGACGTTGACGTGGAGGAGATCCACCTCGAGCTCGGTGAGTATAAATAGGGGCAGTTGGTAGCATTTACACAGGTTGGACTCTCTCACTAAAATTCGTGCTCTAAAGCACTTCTCTCTCTAAGAGACTGACTTGATCGTCGGAGGGCTAACAGGCCCAGGCGCCCCCCCTCTGTGCTCGTGTGTGTAGGCAGGCGCGAGACAGAAAGGACGTGGACGTGTGGGTGAGGCGTCGAGGCTCAAACCTATGTCAATTTATAGTGTTTTAGGGCGATAAAATTTTAATTTTAAAGCGACGAGTAGCGATTCAGAATGAAAATTTGGATACACCTCTAAAAAAATTTAAAGATCTACATATTAGAATCCAACCATTAAATTTAAAAGCATTGGGTCTTATAATACTTCTAAATATCAGTTGAATTTGTACTATAACATTAAAAATATCGTTAATCCGTTCTTCACCACTTAATCCCTATTTTATCAACATCATAGCACCAACTCTAAGAGTCCAACTCCTACTAGGACTATTATTCTTCATCTAAAGGCATAAATCTCAGAAACCTTTTCCTGTTCTTCCAAAACGTACTCCAACAAATTCAAACTCTAACCTTCTTGTTAACCTACTCCAACTCTCCCTCCTTACCCTAACGGCTCGCCGCCTCACCCGCCAAAAAATAACTTCCGCAGAACATCAATGGAAGACGGAGGAATCGCAGAGGACGACGGCTTCAGCGCACATGACCTTTTCAACCACCGCGCCAACGGCCCAACCTCCTACGAATACGACGACGTCGTATTCCTCCCACCACCTCTCTCCTCATCCGCCGCCGCCGTCGTCTCCCTCGCCACCGCCGTATCCCGCAATGTCCCCATCTCGCTCCCCTTCGTCGTCGTCGGCCGTTCCACCGAGCTGATCCGCTCCCTGAAATCCCTCCGCCGTCCCGAGAATCCAGCGCGGCGGATGGTCGCGGCGGCGATTGGGACGGAGGAGGAGGCGGCGGAGAATCGGCTGGAGGAGTTGGTGGAAGCGGGCGCTGACGTGGTTATTCTGGACGGCGGCGACACTCGGCGGCAGATTGAGATGATTAATTACGTGAAGCGGAAGTATCCTGATTTAGACGTGGTTGCCGGTGGGGACGTGGTGACGGCGAACCAGGCCCGGATTTTGATCGCCGCCGGCGCCGATGGGTTGAGAGTTGGAGCCCGGCGATGCCAGGTAATTTATATATTCACTGTTATTGTAGTAATTCGTTGTATGCAATGCAATCAAGATTGCGTTTTAAAACTTAAAAGTCTAGACTTTTTACATTTCAAGATCACCAAAACGTCCGTTTTTATGCATCAAAGTTATCCAAACACTACTTCTACATAGAATCGCGATTTTGACGGTATAAGTTGCAGGCAAGTGCGGTGTACAAAGTGGCTGCCGTAGCAGCGCAAAGTGGCATCCCAGTAATGGCAGATGGGGTGGACATATCCAAGCCAGGCCACGTGGCGAAGGCTCTGCTTCTAGGGGCGTCTTCTGTACTGATCAAGAGTAGAGCCACTGGTGGTGCTGATCATGAAGCAGATTATCAAGTGCTGGAGAATCAGGAGGAGTTGATGCTCGGCGCCATGGAAGTGGTGAAGCGAAGCTTGCGATGGTTGGGCGCCTCATCGTTGCAATCGGCGCATCAGCGGCTGCACTCGCAGGATCTGAGGCTGGAGTTGGTCACGCTCGACACGCAGAGAAAGGAAGAGTTGATGAGGTTAAAAGCATCAGCATTTTGAAAGGAGATCGAAATAAGAACCAATCGTAGTTTCGTTACTAACAATTCGAGTTATTGACGCGAAAGAAATCGTTGGTTAATGTGATAGTTATGGAGTGTCATCAATTGTGTGTCTCAATATGGATAGTAGTTTGGAATGCTTTTGCTCCCCTGCCTCCGGGGACTCTGTTTTCTTGCTTGATCAACCCCTGCTCGGAAACCTCTGATAAAGGATCAAATTTCTTCAATTTCTCCTCGCTTTTGGTAAACCTATCATTAACTGATAAGGTAATTACACATACAAATCACGATGGAACGGGACGACTTTGATTACAACACCAAGAGTTGATCAATGAACATTACAGGCGTAATCAACGAACGAAAGGGTGCAACGATAACAAGCAGATCACTCTCCGGGTAATGCACTGCACTAATGTGGAAGAACTCTGAAACACATATGAGGAGAGGTTTGGGGTTGGAAGGTGAACTGCCCATCGAAGGAGAAAGGAGAATTTCAAGATTTCACCCATTACCCCCTCCAACCTTTTTCATTAAAGAGGGACATTAGCTTCTGCTGGTCTCAAACACATCTGAAGGGGAAAATCTGCAGCAGATGAATACTTTCAGGCGAGAGATTTTCCATAAAGCTGAGCATAGACGCCTTTGGTCCGACGAACCACAACCAAGCTCACGACCATCGCTACAATGCAGAGACTACCCATGATCCCGAATGTCAAGGAGAAACATATTGAGCCCATGCACTTGAGAGGTTCCTCCTCCTGGAGAGGCTTTCCTAGCAATGCAGCTGAATTAAGTGTGTGGAGGCCAGCCTGTACCTCCGCGTAGTAGTCGTATATCCTGCTGGCAATGACACCGGAGAACACAAGAGAACCGGCAGGAGTCGACAGATTAAGGAAGTTGTACAAGGCGCCAAAGCTCTTCAGCCCGAATAGCTCTGATACTGCTGCAGGCACGATCGCCCAATTGGCGCCGTAGGTGAGACCTATGACAATGCTCACCACGTAAATCTGTCCCGGCCATCCCATGGCCGAGTAGAATAGTCCCATTGCCATGGTGAACTCTACCACAGCCATAGCCACCACTCTTGGATATGCAAATTTTCTGTACATGAAAGCATAGTGTCCAGCTTTCGATTAGAAAAGAAAAAGACAGTTGGAGAGAATTTGCATGTTCAATCAGAAGAGATTAGCATACAACCTTACAACGACTTCCGAGAAGTAGCCACCAGCGACACGACCGAGAAAGTTGCAAATGCTCATCATTGAGACATAGATATTGGCATCATCATAACCCAGAGACTGACAAATCTGGCCCAGGTTGTCAATGACAGTAAGTCCAGATCCAGCAGCAAGAACAAGAGAGAACCAGATAAGCAAGAAATCAGCCTTCACTAATGCCTGCATTAATGTGAAGTCTTCCCCTCTACGTGGGCCTTTTCTCTGCTTCACCCTCACAGCTCCTTCTGCTGCAGCTTGGTATAGCTTAGCTTGCAAGTGAGCCATTCTTTTATTCCTCTCCGATATTGAGAGAGAACCCCCCTCGCCGTTGTCATCTTCGCTTTCACTTAAGACGAAGCTCCCTAATCGCTCTGGCGGATGTCTAGTTGCTACTTGTTTTTCTACCTTGGAAAGAAGGGGATCAACTATTGAGGACTCTGGCTCAGAGAAGAAAACCAACTTGACTGGAATCAGAACAGGAAGTAACACGATAACAAGCAATATGACAGTGAGCAACGTAACCATATTGTGGCTCAGATCATAAATATCATTCACTATCAAGATGCCAAACAGATATGCTGCAAGAACAACGCAAACAGCGTAGACAAATGAGAAGCTTGAACCGTCTGATTCTCTCGCTTGCTTGTGGCCCTCAACAGGCCTAACGAAGAACATCAGCGCAATAGCCACCATGGTTGGGCCAACTGCCACCATGAAGATCAACGACGAATGGTCGGGAATATTGATCATGGCATAAACCTGAGTCAGAATTGCACCACTCAACCCAGCGAATCCTTTCAGCATCCCAACAACAGGACCACGGTGCTTGGGGAAGTTCTGGACACTAGAAACCATATCTGCTGTGTTGAAGTAGGTCTCGCCATTCGTTCCAACGAATATAGCTGCACAAAGCTGCAAACCAGAATTCTTACTGTCAGCATTGCTGCAAAAACAACATGAATCCCCAAGCAGAAACCCTTTTTCCCACAAAGCACCATAACCAAGTCAACTCTGAATTAGGCCTGCACTAAACTTCGAGGTAGATAGAAACTACAGAACAAGTGAATCATCAATCAGACGCATCATTTACAACAAAATTGAGCTCCTGTTGCACAAACCCAGTAGAGAACATCTACTCCTAACCAGAACAGAAACCAAAGGAACAACCATCTTCCAAAAGACTTAGCCCAGCCATACAAAGACAAATTAAACAAACATTTCAAAAACTCGGTGGAGGGTCAACATCACAGTGGGGTACAGCATTAGAATACCAGTTGGATGAATCTCCCCGGAATGATCCCACAATTAACTCATTGACTCCACAGAGAAGTTCATCTTCAAATTCCCCACGCAAGTCATTAATTGAACTTGAGACAATTCAACATGAACCACTAATTCACAAACGCCGCCGGAAACAGAAATGAATGGAATATAGACAATCACACAACCAGAGGGAACTCACCACCCAGAGAGGGAGAGGAGGCAATCTGTGGGTGACAATCAGCCAAACCAAGCCATACCCAAGAAAGCTCTGGACAGCACCAATCAGCAGCACAACCCAAGCGGGCAGAATCTCGATCAAACTCCCTGGCAAAACCCCGATACTGTCACCCAAATCCTTCGCGACTCCAAGCAAGGCCACCTGCTTCTGGTTGTAACCCATGGTAGCCTTGATCACAGGCGAAATGCTCCCAAACATGTACCCAATCCCTGCACAAGATTGTACCCACATTGAGCAGACGAAGACCAGCCATCTGTTGTTGGCAAAGGCCCTGAATTTCTCGTTCATTGAGCTGCTCCCCCTGCTGCCTTCCCCTCCTTCCATGGTTCCCCCTTTTGGGCAGAAGGGATCGGTGGAGAGACGATGGTGGGTGTAAAGCTCTGTTCTTTTCTACTTCTGCTCCTTCCTTTTTTGTTCTTACATGGAGTGGTACTTTGAACTTTGATGAAGGACGGGAGAGAGAGAGATAGGATTCGTACGGTAGAGAGAGAGATAAACACCCAACCCACCAGCTAAGTTGGCGCGGGTCTACTCTGTCTATTCTATACCACTGCTTATAAACAACAACCTGTGAAATTTGGCCACTATGAATAAACAAGAGGACCCTTTTTTTTTTTTTTTGAGGGCACAGAGTCGTGTTTTATTGATAATCAAAATATCTCGGTCTTTGCTGTTACTACTCTCAGCCAGAATCGGAAATCAAATGCAGAAATAGAGGATTGTTATAAGGTCATTTTCGTTATAAAGACGTGCACAGTTCGATTTACATGTTGAAAGATAAAAATTGAACGTGGTGAAAGCTAATGGATGATGATGGTACCGTAACATTAACAAGATAGGTAAGGCGCGATGAGGATGGTGTGAGAGTTGTTTGGCTGTGATTCAGCGGATTAACCAATCACTTGAGAATCTTCAATCAATAATGTAGGAATCTGGCAGTACCACAGTACTTGCTCACTGGGAATATAAAATAAAACGTGATTAGTTGTTGTGCTTTTGGAGTTTAGCCTTTTTTCCATGGCTGCCGGTAGTAGGTAATAACTAATAACACAAGCGACAAGTGGAGATATGAGATCATCATCTGCTAATGATATATTGATATTATATAATAAAAAAAAGGTGATCTAATCTGTTTAGTTTTATAGTGAAAATGTGTTTAGTGTTTTGTATACTGTTCTAATGGGAAGGATGGTAGGTGGGATAATTCATAATTGCCACGTCGTCTCCATGGCAGGTTCGGTCCAATCATCAATGGGCTAGCAAAGCCTGGACCGAGATGGCCCAAGCTTATGGTGCTACCTTTGTATTGGACTTACTTTTAACAGATTTCAAAAGGATAGCATCACAAGTTTGGGATAATTTTGAATTCTAGAGATGTTTTCTCATAAACACATGGTTACCCAAATCTAGTAACTAATAGTTTAAGATTGAAGAAATCTAGATGAATTCATTAACAATCCGAAAGAACCCTACTTTCTCGTTGCCGAATCGTAAACTGGAGAAAATATATTTGATTTACTTAAATCGTCATGAGGCTATTCTCCAGCGATAATGAAATCTATTGAGCGTACTTTTGTTCGGATATTTTTTTCAGGGATATTTTCGTAATCTATTAAGCGCCAATTTGGGAGGATTTTTTTTCATATTTGACAAATTTTAAAAGGGTAGCATCATCAAAGATTTTGGATGATTTTTTCTAAAGGTCATTTTCATTGGATTTTGAAGGCTACAGATCAAAGATTCAAACTGAGGCTATTCTTCACTGATGATTAAGTCTACTAAGCACCGATTTGTGTGGATTCTTTCACTTCTATTTTTGGCAGATTTCAAAGGGGTATCATCACAAATTTTAGACGATTTTCTCGAAAAGCTAATTCCCTTAGATTTTGAAGTGCACATATCGTAGATTTTGGCCTGAGGCTATTCCCTGAAGTCTATTAATTGTCGATTTGGGAAAATATTTTTCGAAGAGCATTTTCGTAATTTGGCCAATTTTTCGAAATGCCATTTTTCTTTGATTTTGAAGGCTACAAATTACATATTCGGTCTAAGGCTATTCTTCACCAATGATTAAATTTATTAAGCGCCGATTTGAGTGAATTTTTCCGCAAAATTTTTTGACATTTTCTAAAGAGGTACAATCACGTGATTTTTTTGAAAATCCATTTTCCTTGGATTCTGAAGGCTATAGATAACGGATTTGGCCTGAGTCTATTCTTCACCATTGATTATGTCTATTAAGCACGTATTTTGGCGAATATTTTTTGGGTTCATTTCTGGTAGATTTCAAAATGGGGTAATCACATATTTCAGGAGATTTTTTAGAAAGAATGTTTTCTTTGGATTTTGAAGGCTACATATCACAAATTCGGTATGAGGATATTCTCTAGCGATGATGAACTCTATTAATCACCAATTTAATGGATTTTTTTGGAGGGCATTTTCATAATTTCTGGGCAATTTTATCTAAAGGTCATTTTCTTGAATTTTGAAGGCTACAAATTAAGGATTCAGTCTGAGGTTAATCTTCACCGATGATTAAGTCTATTAGACACCGATTTGGGCTGATTTTTTCGGGTCATTATTGGCAGATTCCAAAGGTGTACTATCAATAGTTTCGGGCGCTTTTTTGGAAAGACTATTTTATTTTTATTTTGAAGGCTACAGATCACAAATTTAACCTGAGGCTATTCTCCAGCGATGGTGAAGTCTATTAATGGCCGATTTGGGCGGATTCATTACAGATGTCATTTTCGTAATATTCGGTGATTTTTTCAAAAGTCCATTTTGCTTAAATTTTGAATGATACAGATCATGGAGAATAAGGCTATTTTTCACCGATGATTAAGTCTATTAACCACTGATTTTGGTGAATTTTTCTCGAATCCATTTTGGACAGATTCCAAAAGGGTACCGTACCATCACAAATTTCGTGTGATTTTTTCGAAAGGTCATTTTCTTTGGTTTTGGAAGCTATAGATCACTAATTCGGCCTAAGACTGTTCTCCAGCGATGTTTAAGTTTTTTAATTGTCTGTTTGGGTGGACTTTTTTAAGGGCATTTTTGTAACTTTTGGCGATTTTTTTTGCAGAAATGTCATTTTCTTGGATTTTGAATGCTACACATCATGAATTCGACATGAGTCTATTCTACAACGACGATGAATAAAGCAAAAACAAAAAAAGAAAGTCAAGCATAAGACATTGCTTATTGTAAGTTTGTTGACCGGTACTGGGTTAAAGGTGAACAACAAACGACACAATATTCTCGAGAATCAAATCAGTAGAAAAGCTAAACACATTGTACCGCGGATTAAGCCTTTCAACAAAAGCTCGAAGATGAAGATCAGATGACGTGGATGCAGTGGCCCGCCTCCCTCTATTGAATGATACATATTATCGAGATATATTGTGCGAGTTGGGTGGAATGTTTTCAATTGCCAATAAGGTGGACGACATTCACAAGAGACCTTGGATTGGGTTCCAGTCTTGGCGTGCCACGGGTAGGAAGGTTTCATTATCTCCGAAAGCTGAGAAAGCTCTGGAAGAGAAAATACAGAGAGAGACTGTAGGGGATGTAGTATACTTTTGGACGCGGTTGGACAAGGATTATGAAGCTACAGCAAGCAGTGCCAAACTAGGGTTCTGGTCCATCTGCGACTTATTAAATGCAGGGCACTGCAGAACGACTTTTGAAAATGCATTTCGTCAGATGTATTCCCTGCCATCACATCTAGAAGGTCTTCCACCAATGCCAGAAGATGGAGGTCACTGGTCCGCCTTGCATAGCTGGGTGATGCCAACCCCTTCATTTTTGGAGTTCACTATGTTTTCAAGAATGTTCGTTAATTGGCAAGGGCTTTACGAGAGGGAGAGGGTGGAAAGGTACCGCCAGAAAATGGACAAGAAGAGGAAGAATAGGGAGAAACTGGTTGAGAGAAATAGGATAGGATACAAGCAGAAACCTCTCGGACGCCGCCGTCAGCTGCTTTGACGGGGAAGATTGATCGTGTACAATGTCGAGAAAGACGAATCAATAGTTGATTTTAAGCCTTCCTCAACGTCCTGGTGGCGGCAGCAAGCGGCTTCAGGAACACAAGTCTGACTCCTAACATGGATAACCAGCCTCCAACTCTTTCATCTGAATCAATACATCAGAGCTCAGGTAAGGAAAGTGCATCTATTCAAACACCATTCTACTATTTCCCGCGGATTTACGTTACACAAGGGGATTGTGAAGAAGGTAGAAACAGGAAGAAAGAAGAAGAAGAAGAGGAGAAGAAGCGCTTTCCTGCAGTTGCAGTCATGGAATGAGAGCATCGGTTGGTTGGTGCCATCTTTAGTGGGAGGTTAGTAGCACCATGGATCGATATTCGTTTTGTTCTTTATTTTGTTGTTCTGTTGTTATAGACATTTTTACGACCCATTTAGTTGGAGATTGGTGTAATTCTTTATTTGTATATACTTGGCCACCACAGCATAGAGGAAAATTTTGTTCGCAATAGGGAACTCCTACATTTGGTCTAAAAAAAAAAAATGTTAGTGTTGTGGTATATGATCCACGATTGAACCTCTCCCAACAACTCGAGTTATTGGGATCAACTAGTTCTTGACAATAATTTCAACATCACTTATTGCTATGCAAGTTAGAAATAACTCGGGGATCACTGATGATATTATCTCTAGCTTTTCCATCCAGAATCCTTTTTACTCATGGTTGCTTTTGCTTGTCTGTCGGAGAAGGAGCATGTTTTTTATGCGACCTCTACATATCCATCACAGTATAAAATTGTGGCGTGACTGGAATAAACGAATATCGTCACACGATTCACTTTTTTTACACATGCCAGATGGAGAATTCGAACTTACAACCCCTCTCGAATCGTCAAATCCAATGTTCTTACCCTTTTTCGAACAAGAAACCCATAATCTTATTGGCTTTGAAGATCATAATCCATAAACTCATAACACCATTGATGAACACTAATGAATCACGACAACATGCCAACACAACACACATCATCCAAAACCTTGAACTAACCGATCAATGACACACATAGACCAACCATATTCAGAACCGTCGGGTCAATAACATTATATCTAGCCATTCACATAATTTTCTTTATTAAACTAAACAAAACCGTAGCTATATATATATTATATATACGTATAGAGACAGGAGGGTAGACGGTTTTTGTCAGTTACCCTTTGTTGCTTTTGTTTTCCGTCGAATAGAAATCATTATAGGAACCCATAAAAATAATAATAATTATTATTATTATTATTAATCATCGTTATTAATGAAAATTAGTCCCCAATTTACAAGAAAATTTGTCCTGTTTTCCCAAGAGAATATGATGGGAGGAAAAGAAACAATTAATTAATTAATTGATTGATTAAAAACTTCCGGGTTTTGTCTGTGTGGGCTGTCTGCGCATCAAGACATGGGCTTGGATTAAGCCCGCACCGTTAGTCCCGATGCTTTTCACGTACAAAGAATTTTAAATCAATTTTGACATAAAAACAAATAATTTGTTTACAATAAAAATAAATCAATAATAGATTAAAATTCGGCTGAATGCTGAAGCACCTCTTAACCTAATTAATGGCTCTATTCATGGGGGAAATGTATTTGTTTATAATTAATGGCCTAATCTTTCCCTTAATCATTAGATTAATTTAAAAGTTAATTTGATTATTTCAAAGGAGATATATATGATTCTTCATCATGTTTACACTTTACATTCATCTCCATTCTCTCTCTCTCTTCCATGTTCTCTGTTCTTCTTTTTGCTCTCTGCTTCTCCTCATCCATTGAAAGGATCCGTTCCGAATCTCATTTCTTTCCATCTTCATGAGGCAATTGTTTTGCCTTTTGAAGATGGAGAGAAATGAGAAACAAGGTTATTGTATTCTTACGTATTGCGAGCTACTGTTTTATGTATTTAGATCCAAATTTTGTCACCGGTAAGCAAACTTATGTCCGATAGAATGAAAGTTTAGTTGTTCTTTCCCCCCTCTTTTTCATATACTTTTGAAGTTTTTTTTCTAGTGGTTAGATGTAGTATTTAGAAGTATATCTCTTATAGTTTTTGCTAAAAATATGTAAGAGATTAGTTGTACTTACTGGTCCGACGATGAATGCGAGCTCCCTTTCCCCAAGAAACTCCAATTTACAGCTATAAACATACCACTACTCCCCCCTATTACTCCCAATTAGCCTCCATAGTCATTTGCTGCTGATCTAGTTCTTCATTACCCATATAATCATGTGATTATGGTGGATCATCAAGCACTAATTACAACACAAAGAAGAAGAGGAAGAAGAAGATTAGATGGTGATCGACGATGAAGAAGCCGGCGGATTGATTGAGCTAATTGGGATGGGTCGTCGGAGTACTAATGGTGTATGTTTTAGTGAAATTAATTATTATTATTATATTAATTGGTTGTCTTTGTTGGTTTCGCAAAGGCTCCAATTTAATTATTAATTATTAGTAGTAGTATTGTATCCTTAGCCAATTAGTGCTTTTTTTGTAGACTTGCAGTTTTTTTTGTCCTTCATGATCCATCCAATTTATGTTGAATTCCACCCTTTGATTGTTCAATGTAGGTGTTTTGTTTGTTCTCAGTTTTGTTTGGGTTTTGGGGTTGGCATTTTTGGAGCATTATAGCTTGGAGGCCAATCCAACCCTAATTTCTTCCAATTTTGTGACCCTTCTGTCGCAACCGTCCCGTCCCGGGGGTCCGAATGTCGTCGCGTCGGCATTTTTGGGAGTCGCCATCGATCTTACTTGGAGTGGATCGAACACTCTTCAAATCGGCTCTAACCTTAGTGTCAGAACCGAGGCATGGTCTGCGAAAATAAAGTTCTGGGTTCGGGAGTACGGTTACGTGTGGGGAAGTTAAGCAACACCCCCACAACGCCCTAAATCGGTACTACTTAAGTCGATAAGTTTTTATGCGAGTTGGGTGTATTTTAGTACTAATTTTGTAATTTTAGGGTCCCACTGGACCATTTAACGATTTTATCGTATTAGTTGTAATTTAATTATACGCCCACTGACGTAAAAGTTTAAAGATAAAGTTAGTTGGTTAGTTGGACTCGAACCTTATCGGTTGCCTACGTACCCGTTAGACGGGATCAAAGTCCACGTAGTTCGTTAGTGACTTTGATGATTTAAAATGTAATCTTAACCACGTTCCACCGATCGTGGTTCTTGACTTTGATCGTTTTGGGTGTAATTTTTATCACGTCCCACTGAACGTAAATCTCGTATTATAACTTTGCTAATAAAATTTAAATTGATTATTGCAAGAATTTTAGTCATTGGGAAGTATTTTGATGTATTAGAAAAGAGGCAAGATAAACTTAATCCGCGTTGAGCAACTAAGAACTTTAAACAAATAAAAGGTTAAAGCAATGAACGATGGGCAAGCAGTCCAACTGGCTGGGTCACTGATTTGGGCGTCTCCGCCACTGAGCACACGGGTTCGAAACCCCTCCAACAACATTTAATTTTGGCTTCTCGTTTTGCTTAAGAGATGGGGGAAGGTAGTTTTGTAATTACTAATTACTCAAAAATGCGGTGGCAGGTGTGTGTGTGATTGCAACGAAACCCTAGGGGCAATTCCGTCATTTAGACCCGAGAGGTATAAATTCATTTTTGCAGCCTCCTAACCCTAAATCGGCCGCCCTCAACCTCTCGTTCTCTCCTCTCTCGCCCAGAAACGAAAACCCGTCAAAAATCGAAGAATCCTAGCCTTTTCTTTCGAAATCGACGAGGGAGATGGAAAGGACGACTTCTCTTCTTCTATTCCTCGATCTGCCTACCCTACCTAGCCTCTCCTTCTGATGAAACTCGAGCGAAGCCCGGGAAAGCGACGACAAGCAGCAACCCCTTTGTAGACCCAAAACGAAGATGATCCGGAAGTTCCTCACGTCGGCGGTAAGCGACTTCTACCCTTGCATGTTATCTTTTTATCGATTTCGGTTTAAGAGCTATTCTAGGATTCTAACCTTCCGTTTTGGTTTTTGGGTTCTCTCTGGTGTTTGATCGAGGGGGAAGATGGGCGGCGAAGGAGACCCGACAGTCTGGCGACGGGAAGGAATAGATCTATGCAATTTGTTTTTTTTATTAGACCTAGGCTCGATATTTCCTGTGCTTTTGATTTTTTTTTTTGGATTTGGCAGTGGTCTTCGGCGGTGAAGGAAGGCTCTGAATTTACCGGCAGTAGGGGTAACGCCGGTCAAAAGAGGAGACATAGGTAAGCCTATTCTTGTTACTCGATTGGGTTTAAACTTCTAGTGGGGATTATCTAACGAAGTTCTTGAATACTCTAGCGAGAATCATTTGTTTTCTTAAGTTCTACAATTCTACCACGATCCAGAAATAGATTAAATGTTTTCTTTAGTATGGTTAAAAAAACGACTTTGAGGCTTTTACAAATTCTGATCAATTAAAGTCACAGCTACTGCTCATGACTTTGGATTAACAAAATTGAAATTCTATTCTATGTTTGGGATCGGATCTAGGGGTAAACGCTCGAGTACTGGTTTTTGGCGCGGCAATGGTTTTCTCAAAAGGGGTGTTTGACTATGTTAGATCTAGATAAACTTACCTATGCTTAATAACTTGCACCATAGATTATCACAACATCATAAGCAAACATGTGTTGAATGAAAACATGATCGTGGAAGGAAACATATCAATCTACATGCTTCCATTAGAGAGCATAACCAAGACAGATCTAATAACGGGTTAATAACTAAATATATAGATGGTTGGATCTGATTTTCCCGTTGCTAGTTAGGAAGTAGTTTTGATCAGGCTACTCCAAAGATAAACATAGCATATTTGGATCTATCAAGTCTGTTAAATCTTATACTATAGTCGAGATGGGCAAGATTTTAACAACTATGCTGATGGTTCATATATGATATTCAATCTATTAAATATGTAGGTGATTCTGATATGATATTCTAATAATTATGCTGATGTTCAATATAGATGTAAACATGGTAGACATAGCTTGTGACGTAAAATGATCTTAAGTTACAGCTTTTCTCATTTCTTTTGATTGAAGTAATTTCTGCCGATGTGTTTATTACTATGAAAGAAGTACCAACCTGGACTTATGAAGGACTGCTTCTTTGTGATTGATCTTGGTCGCTTGCTCTGCTTCTATCCCTGTTTCCTTTCGCCTGCCTGCCTCCTGCTTTGCTACTTATTGTTTCTGCTTTTGTTCTTGAGCATCAACTGCTCTTGTTTTTCTAATTTTCTGTGTTTCTCTTTGCTTTATTCTGATAACGGGCCTCCCTTATCACTCTCCCTATCTCCTTTCCAAAAAGTCCCTCCCCTCCTTCATTTTGTGGTAAAGCTTCTATTTATATCTGTATTTTACTGTTCATTTAGGATTGGTGGCAGTTTTCGGTTGGTTTTCCAAGGGAGGTGGCTGCCTGCCACATTTTGAAGATGCAGCTGCCAATTCTGCTGTCCCTGAGTTTGGTTATATTTTAACTGAGTTTGTTATATTTTAACCGCTTTCTTTTGTTGCAGGCTGCTGCATGTTGACTTCTGAGTGGTTCTTTTGAAGAGGTGGCCTCCCCTACTTCTCTAGGACGGTGGCAGAAGGCTGCTGCCTCTTGGGATATGATATGGATAAGGTGAAGGGACTTATCTTCTTAGGGATTATGGTAAAAGGCTGCTGCCTCTTGGGATGTGTCGATCAAGGATGGGTGAAAAATGAAAATTAATGGTCTGAGTTGGGTTTTGATTAGGATCTGATTCTAATTCCTTCCATTTTGCAGGTTGCTGGACCGG